AATTAGGCCATCCTCGACATGGAACCCCCGCAATCGATCGAGGAAACTCAGAAGCTCACATACCAAATAGTAGTCCTCAACTGGTTCATGTCTCGATCAACCGACAGGTGCCAACTCTTCTTTTAGGCCATCAAGAAGCTAAAAGAATTCCAATGGACAAAGGACTGTCAAAAAGCATTTGATGAACTAAAGGCATATCTGGCCTCACCACCATCACTCAGTTGACCAATTCCAGGAGAAAGTCTCTACTTATACATATCGGTAGGGGATAGCAGTTAGCTCAATACTAGTTCGAGAGGATAAAGGGTTACAGAAGCCAGTGTAATTTTGAGTAGAGTTCTCCATAATGCTAAGACTAGATATCTCAACATAGAGAAGACAACCTTCACTCTGGTGACCTCGGTCCAAAAGTTGAGACTGTACTTCCAAGCCCAAACCATAATTGTCCTAACCAACTAGTCTCTAAAGTAGATATTGTAGAAACCAAAGACCTTAAGTTGATTGACAATGTGGGCTATTGAGTTGTCGGAATTTGACATTCATTACTAGTCAAGACCTGCAATGAAAGCATAAGTGCTAGCTTATTTCCTAGTTGAATGTACGTTCAGTAATAGTAGCGCCCTAGTTCAAGAAGAGCTAGCCTCATCCTACTAACTCCAGACAACAACAAGTTGGAGTATGAACTTTAGCACGCCTTCCCTGCCTCAAACAATGAAGTTGAATACGAAGCCTTATTTGCTGGCCTCCACTTAGCCAGAGACCTTGGAAGCGAGCATGTTGAAGCATTTAGCGACTCATAGCTGGTTGTGAATTAAGTGAATGGGGAGTATGAGACCAGAGAACCTAGCATGGCCAAATACTTGAGCAAAGTCCAAGAACTGATTAGACAATTCCGATACCACCGTTCAACATGAGAACATGTATATTGGCATTCATGGGGAATTGTTCCCAATGTGGGGCTTTAGTGTTTTGAATCTACTTCTACTCATAGCAACTACCCACAAGGCACCATCATCATACATTGAGAATGCCATAACAATTGAGATGGTCCCCATGTTAGTGTGGTGTTATAGTTAAAGGTGTAAAACGGGTCGTGCCACCCTCCCTTGGGATAACTTGGGGGTCGATCCGGCATGGCCCACGACCCAAGCCCATGTGGGCCCGTACCGTGTCGTGCCATGCTACGGGACAAGCCTTGGGCCAGACTAGGTCATGGACCGGGCCAAAGCTATTTATTTAAAAATTGAAAAAAAAAAACTTAAAATTTTAATTTTATATGAATTTTGATGTATACAATTGCTTATATATACAATAATTAAATAAATTAGTATAATAAAATTGAAAACAATTATTTATTTTATTAATATATTATATACTATATATTATATATATAAATATATAAAATATATTATATATAATATATAAGTAATATATATGGGTCGTGTTGGGCTGAGCCGCGGATTGGGTTGTGCTGGCATGCGAACTACGGGTGGCACGGCCTGCTCGGTCGTGCCATTCCATCCAAGCCCACGGAAACCCTAGACCCAGCATGGCTTGGACCATCGTGCCGGGCCTGGCATGGCCTGCATGCCGTTGTGCAGGGCCATACTGGGCTAGTCCAAAGTCAGGCACGACCCGATTTACACCTCTAGCTATAGTGTCTAGTGGTGTGGTGGATAGCAAATTTAGACTAAAAAAAAGAGCTCGGGCCCCGTTTGGAATTAGAATGAAAATGTGCTATTCCAATTCCAGCAATTTGGTTGGGTAGAATCAGATTCCCATTCCCATTCTTGCTGGAATGGCATTCCTCCATTTGAGGGAATGACCATTCCCTATCCCTCCCTTGGGAATGAAATCTCATTCATGCTGATTCCAATTCCTATCCATTCATGTTTGAACCAAATGGACTATGTGAATAGGTAATTCTGGTTCCGATTTCAAAGGATTTTAGGGTCCATTTGGTTTATAGTCGGAATTAGAATCAAAATCCTTTAGAATTGGAATTGGAATGATCCATTCCCATAGTCTGTTTGGTTTAGACAAGAAAGGGAATGGAACTAGGAGTCAGCACAAATGGGATTTCATTCCCAATGGAGGGGCAGGGTGAAGGGATTAGAGATCCATCGTATGGATGGACGAACCCTACAGGTAGGTTGGGTGAAATTTCAAAAATTTCCTCTCCCCTCATCTGGGAATCACATTTCCTGTTTTAGAAAATCTGCATTTTCAATGATCAATCTTGAACCATAAACCAAACCAGATATGAAACCATAAGCAGGAGAGGGATATACCTAATACAGAGAAGCAATATCTCCCAATGGAGGTGTTCACGCCCACGGTAAGAACCAAAACTGCTCCCACTAAAGTTAATGCAGTGTAGGATGGAGTAGAATCAACAATGTTTTTCCAAAAGAACCGGACCCTTCTCAAGAATTCGCTGGATGCTGTGAGTACACCTTCAGATTAGCCTTTCTCCAAAGACTAATATCAAGATCCAATCTTGATCACTCCTGCTAGAAACAGGAAATCGAACTGGCAGTAATGGTGGCGGCAAGGAGAAAACAACTCAATCTCACTAGGTGTTGTGTTCTCTCTCTGAATTTCGAATGTGATTGATCTTCTATAGTTGCTGCCCCCTTCTCCTTTTATAACCTTAAAGGGATCAACTCCTAATCCCATTAGGAGTTGCTGATCCAAATCATATTTGGATCTGAATTCCCTTTAAGAGATAAGGATAGACCCTTATCTTATCTACAGATTAGATCAACCCTCTCCTAATCTGATTAGGAGGTTTCCAGATCTGAATTTGTATTCAGAT